CACTCATTGCTGGCTCACCTGAGCCAGGCATGCTCTTCCTCATTCCTTGAAATGGGCGTCACAACAGCCAGTTCTAACAGAGCAAAGACCACATCCCAAGCCTCTTGAATCCACCACCGCCCCCCAGCCCCACCCCTGGCCAGAATGCTCTCTTTGCCTCTCCTGAAGGCAGAGATTTCCTATAGCCCAGAGAGTCAGTGATTTAGAGCAGAAGCTCAATAATCCCTTTACTAAACCATTCTCAAATCTCTCTAACCCAAGGGCTCCTTTCTCTTTTCCCTTATCCTCCTGCTGTTTAGCCCATGTAAGCCAAGTTGAACGATGAAGAAAGACAAGGAGCAGGGAAGTTAGGTAGACTTTGTAGAGGGAGAAATTACTTTGGGGACATGGAAGAGATATTTACAAGGCAGAGATCAATAGTTTTCAGTTAACTGTACTTTGACCTGCACTAGTACACTGGCCACTGCCCAAATTCTCAAACTCTGAGCTCAGTGGCTCCTGCAGTCCTCATTAGCATCTTTATCTGTAGAAAGGAATCCTCCATTGCCCCCAGTGTGGCCATCAGGTCCTCCCCCTCACTCTTTTCCTGACCTACTATATAGAAAAACATCTCCTGCACCCTAATCCCCAGGTTGTTTACACCGTAGGTGGGGTCTAGGTGCCTGAAGGACAGAGCAAGCACTGCCCTGGGACAAGAGTCCTGGGTTAGTCTGTGGGTTAGTCGATACCACCAAATACCTTTGGGTGGACCCCCTGTGTAAATCTGCTTGAGTCTCAGGTTTTTCTTTGTATTAGAAGGGAGTTCAGGGACTTTTTTAACAAGTAGAAAGTATCCTTTAAAGCATATTTTGATAAATTTTGATAAAAGCCCAATATATAAACCAGGTAAAAGTAGACACCTCCAGGATTGACCTGGGGATGGGAGGTGCTAGCCAGGTCCTCAGCTCCCCTTTATAGTGACCCCCAGGGCTGTCCCTTGATTTCCCAGGGCCCAGCCCATCTTTCCAAGTCTCCTACTCATGAGGTGCTCATTGTTTATGTCATGGGAGCTGGAGAATGGGTCCAAATGCAAATGGATTCAGAAAAGAGCTATCTCAAAGTAAGCAATCTACCCTGGGCATGGCAGGTGTGTGCATGTGTGTACATGAATTCTATGAAAGAAGATTTGTAATTGTCATCTATGAGCAAATGCATGTGTTTATGGGAAGAAAGTTTATAGCTTTTAACTGACACTCCAAGAAACCCATGACTCTAAAACATTAAGAATTCTTTTACAAGATGTTATCAGTTTGGGGAACCAGCAGTTAGCGTAATGGCTATGTCGCTGGACTCCCACGTAGTCGACTGCGGTTTGCGTCCCCGACCCAGTGGCTTAGAACTCACGCCGGGCGTGTGTGCATGCGTGCCCAAGATCCCAAGAGGAAAATGGAGGAGAAGGGATTGCGGTGTGACCATCCCCTCTGGGGGGTGATTTCTCACTTTCTGTCTCTATGTCTCTCTCTTCTGTCTGGCAAGCGCACATGCCCTATAGCAAAAATCTCTCCAAAAAAAAAAAAAGATGTTACCAGTTTTACAAATCTTTCATAAAGATGACCTCAAACTTTAATTCAGATGAACTAGCCTACAAGCCCTGCTGAAAACAGAGCCTGCCTGTACTGAGAGTCACTGTCATAGCACAAGGACACAACCCAATGCCTAATACGCAATTGGCATTTGATACATATAATGGGTGCCAGAACATAAAGCCTGCCTGTTCTCCCCAAAAGGAAGGCTATTCAAGGGGGAAAAAAACTTTAAATATGTCAACTTTTAGGATAACATTCAATATATTATTTTAGCAATACATTAACTTAAAAATACTAATTTCTCCCCAATTTTTGCTGTTGTGAAATATTAGGGACACGCCAACATCCTTATCATGAGGATCCCTTTATATCATTTCTCTCCCTGTTCTGGCATTTCTCATTGTCCCTACAGTCTAAAGTTCACCATTTCTTATTCATCCAGAAGACATTTATTTTCTTTAATAACAGGTTTTTTTTTTTTGAGATGTAATTTACATCCCATTAAATTTATCTTTGTAAAACATACAATTCAGGGGCCAGCCCAATGGCATCGTGGTTAAAGTGGCTGGACCTCACATGGCCAACTATGCTGTTTGAGTCCTAGGTCAACGGGAGGTGCACATGCATGTGTGTCCAACATCCAGACAGAAGAATGGAAGAGAAGGGATTGTGGCATGGCTATTCCCACCCCCGAGAGGAGTGATCTCTCTCTCTCTCTTTCCACCACCCCCGAGAGGAGTGATCTCTCTCTCTCTTTCCAGTTAGTGCATGTGCCATATAATAAAAAGAAGAAGAGAAAACTAAAAACAAAGAAAAATACAATTCAGTAGTTTTTAGAATATTCACAGAGTTCTGCAACCATCACGACTATCTAATTGCAGAACATCTTTCTCACTCCTAAAGGAAACTGCGTACCATTGACAGTCCCTATTCTGTACTCCCCACAGACTCTGGTAACTACTAATTTACCTCCTGCTTTCATGGATTTGCCCTTTTCAGGACATTCCACATAAATGGAATCATATAATATTGTGGTGTTTTGTGACTACTTCTTTCACTGAGCATGATGCTTTGAACTTTATCCTTGTTGTGGCATCTATAAATACTATATTACTTTTTATTGAAATATATTATTTATTTATTCATTTTTTTAGTATCAGAGGGTACAGTTACCTAAGAGAGAGAGAGACAGACAGACAGACAGACAGCATGCTTTCTCCCCTGCAATGGGACCTGGTCATGCCACAATCCATTTCCTTCATTTCTTCATCCCATGAGGATCTCAGACATGCATGTGCACACACTGTGTTTTCAAGCCACCAGGGCTGAGACACAAACTCTCATCTTGGGATCTAGCTTTTTCTGTGTATATTTTAACCATCTCACTATGGGGCTGGCCGAATAAATAATATTCTCTTGTATGGATATGCCACAGTTTATTTACTCATTCATTAGTTGATGAACATTTGGGCTGTTTTCACTTTTTGACCATTGTAAATGCTGCTATGGACATTCATGGACAAGTTTATATATGGACATAGGCTTTTATTTCTCTTAGTTATAGACTTGAGAGTAGAGTAGCTAGGTCATGTGATAACTCTATGTTTAACATTTTGAGTAACTTCCAGCCTATTTTACAGCAGCTGCACCATTTTGCATTCCTACCAACAGTGCATAATAATTTCAATTTCTCCATCTTCTTGACAACATTTTTTATTGTCTGTCCTTTTGGCTTAGCTATCCTAGTAAGGAAAAGCGGTGTCTTATTGTGGTTTTCACTTGCATTTCCCTGATAATTGATGATATTGACATCTTTTTCATGTGCTTATTGACTATTTGTATCTTTTCTCTGGAGAAATGTCTGTTCAAATTCTTTAGAAAGTACTTATTTTTCTTTCTTGTCCCTAAAGAATTGTTTTTATTTAACTTTATTTATTATTATTACTATTGTTTTTAATTTGACCAGGGAGAGACATGGAGATAAAGTGAGAAAGCAAGCCATGAGGTCTGGGACTCAAACCACAGGAGGACACGTGGGAGTCCAGTGCCTTTAACCACCATGTCACCTGCCAGATACCAGAAAATATTTATTTTCTTATGTCCACAATATAACCATATAAATACATAGCTTTTCATTTATTTTTTTAAGAGATTTTTGCTAGAGGGCACGTGTGCTTGCCAAAGACACATGGAGAGACAGAAAGAGAGAAATTGAGAAATTGCAAGGGAAGAGATTTTTGCTAGAGGGCACGTGTGCTCGCCAGAGACACATGGAGAGACAGAAAGAGAGAAAGTGAGAAATTGTAAGGGAGGATAACTGCTGCAACCCCTTCTCCTCCATTCTCCTTTCAGGATTTTGGGCACGCATGCATACGTGCCTGGCGTAAGTTTCAAACCTCTGGGTCTAGGACTCAAATTGCAGTCAGCCCATGTTGGAGTCCAGCTCCTCAATTACTGCACCATCTGCTGGCCCTCAAATACTGCTTTTAAAAAAATAACTGAGAATTTGTATACAATACCATTCATTACTTTAGTTTTGATGCTATGCCCACAAGAAAAGTTACCAAATCTATGTTAGAGTACAGTGCTTACTTTTTTGGTTTGTTTTTAAATAATTCTATCAATTGATCTTCACAAGCATCTAAAAATGGCATTGACTGAAGTGCTTTCAGGCTAATTTTTTTTTCTTTTTTTGGAGAGATTTTGCTATAGGGCGCGTGTGTGCGCCAGAAAGACAGAGAGAGACAGAGAGACAGAAAGCGAGAAATCCTGCCCCAGAGGGGATGACCACGCCGCTATCCCTTCTCCTTCATTCTCCTCTTGGGATCTTGGGCACACACACACACGTGCCTGGCATGAGTTTAAGCCACCGGGTATGGGACTCGAACTGCAGTCGACTACATGGGAGTTCAGTGACATAGCCATTACGCTAACTGCTGGTTCCATCTTCTTCTTTTTTTTTTTTTTTAATTTTTGGAGAGTTTTTGCTATAGGGTATATGCACTCAGCAGAAGCCAGAAAGACAGAGAGACAGAGAGACCAAAAGTGAGAAATCACCTCTCAGGGGGGATGGCCACGCCGCAATCTCTCTTCCTCCATTCTTCTCTCGAGATCTTGAGCATGCATGCACACACTTCCGGCGTGAGTTTAAGCCACTAGGTCTGGGACTCAAACCTCTGTGGACTACATGGGAGTCCAGCCACATAGCCATTACTCCAACTGCTGGTCCTCAGACTAATATTTTTTTTCTTAAGCATTATATTTTTGTTTAAATAAGACATTTGAAAGATCAATGCATTATATAAAAGATTCTGAAAGTGTATGAATATAAACTTCCTCTTTTCTGACAGATAATTTGGAGAGAAAGCTTCAGTTTATTTTCAGGTTCACGTGATATTTAAAAATAAATGGATGGGTGAATAGAGGAATGGAGGATGGGCAAGAGGCGGGGTAGAAGGATGAAAGGATGAATGGATGGGTGGATGGACCAATCAAGCAGTGAATAAATGAGCAAAAGAAGGACTGCAAACCAGTAAGCTTGTTGACCAAACAACCACACCAATCTTACCCGCTTTATTCATCATTTTCTAGTTCTAGTTATAAAGCCATCATTGAGCTTTCTTTAATTTACATCTCACACACCAATATACACTTAGTTAAGACACTGTTTGTGGTTACAGGTTGGAAAGAAGACACTGTTTTCTGTTGTTGGAGTATCTTTATCATCTTTCTTTAACATGGGAGAATCTGAGGCTGGCCAGTTTCCTGGAGGTGATTGAGAAACTCAGAGATCAAGCGATATGACTGCAAGATTTGGTTCAGGGTTGTATGTTACTGGAGCAGGAACTTTAGGGATATGATACAATACAGGGTCTTGTGGTGTTTAGGCCTCCAGTCCTCCATCACCGTCCTGACCATCGTGGAGACTTTGGGATTGCTGCTGCCTCGTGGCTGTAGAGGCCTTTCCTTCTTCTTTCTCTGAGGTGGGACAGTCTGGCCTATCACAGAGACCACACTCACTATGATTCACTACCAACTTCCACAGAGAAAAGCTCTACCCCTCCCCCACTCTTCCCCTTTGGTATTCTCTTAAGAAAATGTGCAGGCTAGCAAATAGTACTCTGGAGTTTGGCTCAAGAGTGAACAAAGGAGGGGCCGGCAGTGGCATGGTGGCTAAAGGCGCGGGATTCCCACATGGCCAACTCATGGTTCAAGTCCCAGACCTGGCAGCTTGTCTTCTCACTTTCTCTCTCTCCTTCTTTCCCTCTCTCTCTCATCAAATTAAAATAAATAAATATATAGATTTTAAAAAGAGTGAACAAAGGAAAGGGGAAGACTATCAGGCAAGAAGATAAGAAAGGAAGCTGTGGGCAGACATACAAAGAAGTGACACATGGGCAAAAGCTTGCGAGCCAAAGCTTGACTTTTAAAGGCTCAGACCCTGGAGAGGGAAGAAATGACAGGTGATAATGCTCTTTGGAGAAACCTTCACGGCAGCGGTATAAAGAGCAGGTTCCCGTGACGTTTACTCTGGAGCGTGTGTGGTTAGAGTCGGTGCTCAGGGAGCAGAAGACATAAAGGGTAGTGTGCATGTGGCTTGAACTCCTTTTACTGCTCGTAGTCAGTGGCTTTGGAACTGGGAGTTAGGTCTGCACTTATCAGAGAAGCATCCAGATCTCTTCCATAGAATTTAATTCCTTCCCAGACAGACTCCCAGTGTTCTCCGGTGACCCCAACAGTGACTGCTTCCTTCTGTACCATGTCAGGACTGAGTGTCAGCCTATATTCCCAAGCACCCCTTTCCCTTGTTTGACACATCTGCAGGGAAGGAATCTATATTCTCCCTTAAGTCATGTTTCCTTCTTTGAGGATGTGGAACGGGTGGCTTTGCACCTACGATGACCCAGGTGCTAGGCTAGGCCCTGGAGATAACAAAAGTGAGGAAGGGACTCTCCTCCAGTTGAAAGAGCAATGCCAGCAGTCACAGTCAAACCAGACATGCTGCAAGAGAGTTGTACAAATGCCATGAGGCACGAAGGCTTCAAAATGAGGTGATACTGGGAAGGGGGTTTGAAAAATGGATACGAGTGTACCAGGCAGCAAAAGGGGTGATTTCCAGGTTAAGAGCACAGCATTTGTGAAGATTAGGAGGCACCAAAGACTATGGCCTATTTGAAAGGCTGTATACAGCTCATGGTGGTTGATCTAGCAATACTATAGTAGGAAGAAGGCTGGGAGGATGCAAAGAGACCTTTCATCAAGGTGTGTTCACATTGGACATTTTTTTCTAGCAACGGGAAGCTCTAAAATTCATATAGTAATAGAGCTATGGAAGTTTGTAAGCAGGGAAGAAAGTCAGATTTTTGTTTTCAAGAAGAGCACTCTGGCCCGAGGTGCTCTTGTGCTGAGTACAAAGCACAAAGAAGCTGAGGGTAGATGGGCATCTCTCAGGTGTGGCCAGGGGCCACCAGCAAAGCTGTGCCAGCGCACAGCAAGTGGGAGGTGCAATCCTTGCAGGGACGTGGTCTGGAGTTTCTTCTACCAGCTTGGGCATTGCAGCTACTTGCTGCCAGTTGAGAGGAGAGCCTGGTGGCAAGGCCTGGTCCACTGGTCTGACCCTGAGGACGAGCCTACTTCCTGCTTTTTCTCCTGTAAGTGTACGTGCATTGGGGAGTGGGGCAGAGAGAGGAGAGAGGGGCTTGGCCAGCTGAGCAAGAACCAACATGCCTTGAGCAAGGCGGTGCAGAGGCTGATACAGTGCTTATTTTACAAGAACAGGAAATCCAGGAAGAGTACACCTACCTGGAAAGCATGGGGGTGGTCAGGCATCTGTTTTTACCGCAACAGTTGGAAATGGCTACTCCATAGGAATTATGGTGCATATAGGATATCCAGGACTAGAAGACTCTGAAGTGAAAAGAAAGGGATTAGGCAAGCACAGAGCTCACATTCCACCTTCCCCGAGCGCACCTCCTCCCTGAACACTTGGCTGTACCATCCATTTATGCCTGGCTCAGGTTTTCTTGAGATAAAATTATTTTTCACAAGTGCGTGCCTTGCTAAATGGAACGGTGGAAAGGCAGGGACGTGCCTCATGGCCCTTTGTCTCCCAGTCATAATCCAGCAAATGTTAGAATATAGCTTGCACTCAGAAAATATTTGTTCAGATCTAGGGAGGCTTTAGGGAAAAGACTAGGGAAAAAAGTGCTAACTTTAAGTCTCCAATCCCTGTGGGAATGAAGAGTATTAAAGTCACTCAGGTTAAAACAAGACGAGGAGCAGGGAAGCCCCGGTGCCAAGGTGTTGGGCACATGGGGTGAAAGTATGCGTAATGACCATGGGGAGTGAGCAGCAGGATCACCAGGTCCTGGACAGGGGATCTATCCAGATCCCCCAGCATAGCATGGGGTGCATGTCAGTAACTTTGGAATCACCAGGAGGGCTTTTTAAAATACTGACTGCTAAAGCCTGCTCAAAGCCTAGTGGTTAAGGGAGCGAGATCCCACATGGCTGACCATGCGATTCAAACCCTGGCCCCTGTGGCTTGAAGACACTCTGGGTACATGTGTGTACATGCCCCAAATCCAGAAAGGACAGCGAAATCAAAGAGAAAGAATTGCAGCAAGACTATGCCCCTGCTGAAGAGTGCTTTCTCCCTACCCCTCTTTTTCTTTTTCTGTCTCTTTGTCTCTCTCTGGTGAGTGCATATGCTCTCTGATAAATTTACAAAACAGCACACACACACTGATTCCTGGGCTCGAACTCCAGTTTCTGATGCAGGACATCTGGGGATGTGTCAGAGAATTGCTCTTTGGATAGAGTCACAGGTTAGGTAGATGCTGGTGGCTGGGGGACCACACTTTGAGAACCACTGAAGTAGCAATGTATCTTAGATGTCTCTGCCTTCCCACTCCAAACTCTGGTAGTTATATAAACACGCCCGCACTTGTCTCGATCTAAACCAAGCAGCAATTCCTTGCTCTGTGTTAGTTTCATTTTGCTGTGTCCCTCATGCCCCAAGAAGGTTTTGTGCCCACCACTGATGGAACGATGACCATGTCCTCATGGGCTCTGCCGTCGAGCCACCACTGTTGTCTGCCAGTGTACCCCATGACTCAGTGGCTTCCCAGCCTTTCGGTTTCATCTAGGTGTTCTCTCAGTCACGACTTCACTTCTGAGCTTTCTGATTCCACCTCTCAGATCCCTTCAAACCACAGGGACCAGCAGATAGCATCATGGCTATGTCGCTGGACTCCCACGTAGTCGACCGCAGTTCGTGTCCTGGACCCGGTGGCTTAAACTCACGCCAGGTGCGTGTGCTTGTGTGCCCAAGATCGTGAGAGGAGAATGGAGGAGAAGGGATTGCGGTGTGGCCATCCCCCCTGGGGGGTGATTTCTCACTTTCTTTCTCTCTGTCTCTCTCTGTCTGTCTGGCTAGCGCATGTGCCCTATAGCAAAAACCTCTCAAAAAAAAAAAAAGATCTCTTCAAATAACACCAAGATCCACCTCTGCCGTGTCTTTGTCCCCAGTAACCTTCTTTGTCTCGTTTCATCATTCATCACGTGTTTGTGTCTTTCCTGGGTAGCCAGAAATCCTTGAGGATGGAGTCCTGGTGCCCAAGTGCCCTTGGAGGGTCAGCAGAAGGAGGTATTTCATCAGGTCCCAAACTCAAACCCAAACAAACCATGACCTGTTTACATTGGCCCTTCTGGCCCCTCATTCTGAAAATGTCTCCACAGAGGCCCAGGTGATTGGGTGGTGGGGAGGAGGAGGCATTTGCTGCATCTACCCATGAGATAATGTGGCCAGGTGCCAGTCGGGTGGGCTCAGCAGCCTTGAAAATAATGCGATTACTAATCCGTATCGCACAGGGAACTACCACCCCCAGAGCTGTATTAAGAATGTTTTCCTCAGGCAAAAAATGTGCCGCCTTTGGCATCCAAGTCAGTCTCAGGAATTTAATTTTATGATTTTTTTTTTTTTTTGCTCATTCTTGTACATATTCCAGATCTGCTCCTTCCAGATCCCTCGGTCAACATATAGCCAAACCCTCTCTGTATCTTCCATGTGAGAATAACTTTCAAATGCGTTCCTCTTCCCCAAGACTGTCTTCAGTTCTTGCTCATCTGCCTAAGTCCTCTCAAATGAAGCTCCCGATATTCTTCAGGTTCATGGAATCCCTTTACCTGGGACCCCTCATGCGACTCAGAGCCCTGGAGCATTCCAGATATATTTCTGGGTCCAACTGCCCTTTGCTGCTTATTTATACCCATCTAATGATATCATCACCCCCTGAAGGGGACCCACAGCTCATGGAACGTGTCTTGAGCACATCTTAGTTCACCCATCCCTAGAGACATCCTTAGTAACCCCCCAACTTCAGATTTTACCTTCTTTATTAACTGCTCCTGTGTCTCCTGTCTTCTAAATTTTCTCCTTTTCAGAAAAAAAAAAAATGATCTTTTCTCATGGGCTAATGAGTGGTGTGGTGGTTAAGGTACTGAATCCCCCATCGTTGACTCCGTGATTCCAGTTCTGGATCCGGCAGCTTGAAAAACACACTATGCACATGTGCGTGCATGCCCATAATCCCAAGAGGAGAATGGAGGAAAAGGGATTGTGGTGTGGCCATCTTTCTAGGAGGCGATTTCTTACTTTTCCACCTCTCTGTCTCTCTCCAGCAAGTGCATGTACCCATAGCAAAAATCTAAAATAATAATAATATTTCTTTGAGTGAGATGACTAAAGGAAAATGCCCTAAAGTTAGTGGAAACACTCCTAGACTCAGTTCTTGTTCCCAGCCTTCACTTTTCAGGAAGATACCAAGCATGTCAGCTCATTTATTCACTTGCCCTCTCCCTCATATTCATCCCCAACCAGGATCTTCCAAACACAGCACAAGCTTAGGCCTGATAATGCTCTTTAAATATGGAGCTACAAATCTCCCAGTGGAGGTGGAGGAACTTCCAGTTTGCACACAGATGATTCATAGTCTGTTAGCGCCACAGGTCATAAGAGTTAGGAGCAAGCGCAGTGGCCCCAGGTGTGGCCCTCCACTTCCCAGGCATGTGACCTCAAGCACTTTCTTAACCCCTCTCACCCTCAGCTTTCCTACATTCCAGACGATGGTGTTCTACTTACAGGAATATTACAAAGATTAAAAAGTGATGATATACTTGTGCATTTCAAGCACTTAGCATTGGTACACCACTCGTGTAAGTATCTAGTCCATTTAGCTCCTGTTTGTATCAATGGCATCAATTACTAGAAGACAAAACTATGTGTAACTGGAAGGTCAACAGGGCCCCGCCCTTTGTCTGTCTGATTACACTTGGCAGAAACCCCAGCTCTACAGCTCAGGACAGCCTGAGGTCCTGGCCATGATCTTGCCAGTTCTAGACTCACTTCCTTGTGCTTCTGACTACTTCTATACAGTCACATCACCCCAGGGTTCAGACCTCAGCCCTTCAGCAATGATCCTAGGAAGTCACATGCCACACAGAACACTTGGGATTCTCTGGGCTTCACAGAAGAGTTAGCAGAAGAGGAGTGTTGGTGGGAAGACAGACCATGTAGCATTACACTATTTCTCTGGTCTACTCCTTCCTTTTCCTCTCACTCTCCTTTCCCAGAGCAATGGACAAATTATAGCATGCCCACACTTCTTGAGCCCCATCTTCTAACTGCAGGAGTTTAGTGGCACATATTTCTGAACAAATAGAGTCTCCTTCCCAGAAGGATTTCTGTTACCTTTTTCCACTTTGGATGCCACATCCTTGAGCAGAGCTGCCCATGTTGACATCTGGGTCAGCCTGGGATGCAAATGGTAAGGGCAAGGTGAGGGGCTGTCCATCAGTGGGGAGTGGAATGGCAGTTGGAACAGACACCCAATTCTACTGAAAAGGCAAAGTGAGCCAGGGGTGGTGTGTGGATGATTTTTATTCATGAATAGAAGCAGTTGCTTTTCCCAGACTGACATTCTGATGATGGGACTCAGTAACCTACTTGTAGAGGCAACTACTTTGACTGTCAGATTGAACAAGGAGATGAAATATAGACAGATTGTATACCTATGGGTGATTCCACACTTGAAAAATGAACAAAACCAATGACAGGGTTGACACATGCATGGGAAGATCAATCAAGTGAAAATATAAATACATGCAGCAGATACGTCAGCTGCCGTGGAGGAGACCAGGAGCTTGTGACCTCAGAGGTCGCAGTGCTAGCTCTTGGCCATAGTAAGGAACTTCGAGATGCAGGAAATGCTCACCTCACTGGTTGCTAAGTGACCTGGCCTACTCAAGACACTGTACCAAAGGTGTCCAAACTCCTCAGTCCCTAAAGTACTATTCACTTCTCATTCCTTTGCCAGAAGAACTGTTTCTTCTATCCAAGTGGTCCTCCTTCCTCTAACTTTCTCTTTCTTCTTATTCGCTCTTTGAAATTCTCTTCAGTTTTCAACTGCAGAATCTCCATGAGGCTTTCCTGGATTTCCTCTTGCCTGGAGTCAGAATTAGCAACCTGTTCTTACTGCTCACCCAGCACACTGCCCTGAGTGACAGCAAGCACTCTCTTCCTGCAGCCTTCCAGTGAATCTTCAGTCTTAGTGTTTTAAAATCCAGCTCAGTCTTTTCTAGTGACTTAGTGTCTGGAAGCCACAAGTTCTCCACATATCTTTAAGAAAATCTATTCAACACGAACTTAAAGGTAGTTCACTGGAAATCTGAAGTTAAGGAGAATCTGATTTAGCTACAAGTCTGATCACTCAAGGCCACAATGCATGTTGTAGGTAGTTTTACTTCCTGAAGCTCCAGGTTTCCATCTGTGGATAGAGAAGATCTGAAGAAAGAAAGTATGAGAATCCTGTTTTTGTTCTCTCCTCATGGAACTGTTTGCTTTCTGCTCTCTGTTGCTGGAAGTGATGGGGAAAGTCCTATCTAGTCTCCTTTCATCACAGAAAAATGGAGCAGGACCAGAAATGTCCCCATTGAACTAAGAATTATTTCGGGGGTGGGGAATAAAATAGACTACAGAAAGTCATTTAATCCAAACTCCTCCTCATGGAAAAAAATCTTCCTTTTCTTGGGCACCTATTGGACATGAGTATCCTATCAACTCCTTCCCCTGTTGGACAACTCTTATTGCTAGAAGGGTTTTGCTCTCACTGAACTGAACTCACTCTGAAACTCATACCCCTGGAGCTCTTCCCAGCAGTTCAGAATACTGACTGTTTCTTAATATGGCAGCCTTCAAATATAGGGACTGCCCACCCATTAGTCTCTGATCAAGGCTTAACATAAAGCATTGTTTCTTCTTCTTGCCTGAGATACTTTTCCAAATGGTCTCTTTCTGACTCTCTACCTGTGGATAAATTATTATTTTGTCCCCTTTTTTTTTTTTTGAATTTTTGCTATAGGGTGAGTGAGCTCGCTGGAGAAACAGAGAAAGACAGAAAGCAAGAAATCAAATCACTCCAGGGGGAATGACTGCAATCCCTTCTCCTCCATTGGACTCTCAGGATTTTGGGCAGCATGCAAATGATGTGGCTGGCATGAGTTTTAATACATCGGGTCCAGAACTCGAACTGTGGTCAACTACATGGGAGTCTAGCCATGTAACCATTACACCATCTGCTGGTCCCAGATTTTGTCCCCATTGTAAAGCGTCATGGCCAATAGTAGCCATCACTCTAGAAGAAGCAATACCTTCTTGTTGGTGGTTTCCAGTCTCTTCATCACCATGGACTCCTGTCTTTCCTCTTTCCAAATGGACTTTTTGTTTGGACTTATTTTGCTAATTCAATTTAATAAGTAAAATTTATCTACCAATCCTTCAAGTCTAATTTCCTCAGCCTGGCTTTCATGCCCAAGACTCCTCTTCAGTTTATCTTTGGTCATCATTCTTGTATTTTGCTATAGCTGCCATGACAAAGTATTATAGACTGGCTTCAACAACAGAAATTAATTTCCTTACAGTTGTGATGGCTATAGTTCAAGGTCAAGGTGTTGGCAGGGCTGGTTTCTACTGAGGCCTCTCTCCTTGGCTTGTAGATGGCCCTCTTCTCCCTGTGTCCTCATATTATCTTCCCTCTATGTGTCTGTGCCTTGACCTCCTCTTCTTATAAAGACATTAATCATGTTAGATTAGGCCCACCATAACAACCTAATTTTACCTTAATTACTTCTTTAAAAACACTCTTCAAATACGGTCACTGCAAGGAACTGAGGATTAGGGTTTGGATATAAGTATTTTGGGTAGACATAGAGCCAGAAGGTAGCAAGAGGTTGAGGTAGCTGGAGACCACATGGTGGCTGTGTGGTTCAAGTCCTGGTCCTGGCAGCTTGAAAATCACACTGGGTGAATATGCTTTGCATGCCCAAAATCCTGAGAGGAGAAGGGATTGTGATGAGGCCATCCTTTCTGAGGGGTGATTTCTTACTCTACCTCATTCTTCCTCTCTCTCTGGTGAGTGCATGTACCCTCGAGCAAAACTAAAAACAAACCTAAACAAAGAAGAATTCTGGGTAGACATCAGCCTATAATATTCTCCCTTCCCTTCACCTGGTGAAGCTGACTTTACCTGGTTTCAGAACAGAACACACCCTTTATTTTCATCTCTCATGCCTTCGTCCCTGCTACCTCTTGCCATGCCTCCTCTACTTCTCTTTCAAGTTCATACTTCAAAGAAACCGCAATGCTGAGTCGTGGTCCAGTCCGTTTAGACACCCCCAGAGATGAGAACTCCCTTTCTGCCAGAACAACCCATTCTGCTTGTCTCGAGAGCATCACATCTTAACAGTATGGACCTGGAAAGGATTCAAGTTTCGTCAAGTAAAGGTACTTTTCCTCCCAATTCAGATGAAATTATTTCAAATAATATAAGAACTGAGGAGCATATGGAAAATAAAAAACCCAGAAATATCTAAGAAATTGAAAACTAGTCACACCAGATACCTGAAACCAGTCTACTGAGGTGCTGTTCTTGATGAACAGCTTAAGCAGAACCAGGCCCTTTTCTTGTGTGACAAACACTCAAATATTTCTTAAGTTGTTCTGCACTATTCAGGAGTACCACAATTCTCTCCATATTCTCTGTGCAAGATAGGACTTCCCTAAATTTTACTCGCCAAGACCCCTTAGTCAAAGCAAAGTGAACAGAACCTACTTTTCCTCCCACTCCACTTTCCAACTCTTCTGTAGCAGGCACACACTACAACACACACATCTAGAATTTAGCTTTGTGCATCATCTCAATGCTGTTGCTTAGTAACAGTGTGCTTAGCAACCAGTAAGGGAAGTGTGATCACACCTCCCAGCACCGTACATGGAGCACTGCAGACAATACAAACAGTTCCCTGGTTTTTCTTTGCACAGAGAGGAAGGTAACCGTCAGAGGTGGCCAGTATTATGCACCAGGGATTGTGGCTCATCATCCGGGGGCCCAAATTGGTTGCTGCTTGGCTTTTTATTTGGCGTTGGGTAATATCTTTGTGGGGGCGTCTGGGTAGGTGGTTCTTGAAGGGCCGGATCTCTCTGCTTGCACTTGTTCTCAGGATGCCTGTGATGCAGGCAGGGCAGCTTGCAGAATCCTCTCTGCTCCCACGCAGCTGTGCCCTGCACCAAGCCTGCATCCCCTCACTTCCCTGCCAGTCTCTCCATTCCCCTCTGTCTGTTCCACCTGGAGATTACTCTCCATGCTCTGCTATGACTATGGCCTCCACCTTGCAGCGTTCCCATTCTCCCAGTGCCCAGTGCCTCTGACGCTTGGATGTTTCTCTATGCTGCTGGAAAGTCCCCAATCCCCTCAGTCAGGCAAGTCCCTCCCCCATCCCTAGCCCTCACATTAATGTGCATCCCAGCCTCAGACCACAGGCCATACACTGAACCAAGTGAGCTGGGGCCCACCTCCTCCTCACTGTTGGTGCCCTGACCGTAAATTGGATTGTTGTGACTTAACTGAGGATTCCTGGCATTGCATAGCATGAAATAGTAAAGAAAGCCAGAGAGTCTAGAGTCTGGAGATATATATATTCCAATCCTAGATCCTTTTTTTCCTCTCTCAACTGTGTGACTTAGGTCCTGTTTTTTCAGCCTCTTTAAGTTCTAGTTTTCTAAGGGGATTTGAATATTTGTCTTGCAGGGAGGGCTATGGTAACAATTATGTGTTGTAACAAACAAACAAAAAATACCTAGCAAAATACATGTTGGAAAACTCATTATATATTCCCTTCCTGCCCCTCTATCCCTACCTCTTTATTCTTCCTTTCAAACCTACTCTCTCTCACTAAAGCCAGTTTTCTAGTTGCATTCTCAGAAAGAAGTGAGATGCAATGAGAAAATGTGGGCAGGGAGGCAGAAGCTCCAACTCTAGCTCTGCAACTTATTATCTCTAATCATAATAGTTTCAAGGTTCCCCTTGTTCATCTGTAAACTGGAGCTCACCTGACTTGTCTAAAAGCACAGAGTTGGGGCCAGCAGGTGGCACAGTGATTAAGGCACTGGACTCCCACATGACCGACCAACAATGATTTGAGTTTTAGACCTAGCAGCGTGAAAATCACACCAGGTGTGTGTGCGCACAGTGTGTGTGCATGTATGCACATGTGTGCTCAAAATTCCAAGAGGAGAATGGAGGAGAAGGAATTGCAGCATGACCATCTTCCCAGGAGGGTAATTTCTCACTTTCTCTCTCTCTGTTCTCCAGCAAGTGAACATATCCTATAGCAAAAATCTCCCTTCTCCCCCTAAAAAGCACAGTTTCTGCAAAGTGCAAAGGAGATAGCGTGTGTCAATATCATTTACGCATGTCGAGATCTTTTATAAATTTTAGAGAACAATTTTTCAGATGAAGCTGGTCCCATTTTTGCATGTATAAAACAGCAAGAGATTCTAAAATGTTTAAAGCTCCCTTAAATCCTAAAATGGTAACAAACTAAGAGATAATAGTCACCTGCCCTCTAAAGACCTGGGTGGGCTGGGCCGTAGCCCTCTTCACAGACAGTATTTGTTTCGTAACTCAGAATACATGGCAGTGATACTTTTACTGTCAGTTCACTGGGGCCCTCTGACCAAGGTGGCTGGTTATCACCCAATCAGAACTTCAGTCCAAGAACATCTAGAGGTGTTGTCTTCTGGCTTGGGAATGTGTATAACTAGACTTTCAATGAGGAAAACAAATGAGTCAGAACATGCCCAAGGTGTGATTGAGGTACCAGGGAAGCAATCGCTGCTGTAGGTGTTTGGAGTTTATGTCATGAATACTTCCATGGTGGTTATGTGGCTAGTAGTGGCCTGAGAGAGAATGGAATTTGCAAACGGAGGAAGCATGAAGTGAGGTATTTTAAAGTGCTTAAATAATTTACAGTAAGTTAGATGAAAATGTGATGAACAGATAGAATTTGGATGTTATTGGAATCTTGAGGGTTGGGAGTCTGGTCAAGGATGAACAAACATTCCAAAGATATTTGCATTCTCTCCAGTGAGACTTCCCCTAGGGCAGTTGTAGGGTCTCTTTATTACAAAAGATCTCAGCAGGTGAGATGGGAAATGCTGGGAGTGCACAAGTTCTGGTTTTGTCTGAGAGATCTGTATCAAAGCACTTCAGGGAGAAGGGTGCAAGGGTCACTCAGGGACTTTGCAGCTATTCATCTTCCAATCCCAGGACTTCAGGGAGGGAAATAAAATAGATCCTTTTGTTAAAAAATTGGGAACTCCTGGGGCTGGGCTGGACAGGAGTGCAGTAGAACATGGTGCCCTGTGAGGCAATGCTATGTCAAAGAGTTCCCTGTTCAAGTCTGGAGATCTCCTTGGGTATGCTGGTCTTGTGCTTATCCATGATTCAGAGATGCCTGAAGGTGGGAGGTGGGGGTTTCACAGTGTTAGTTCTCTCTCTCTTGATTATGGAGAAAATATATAAATATACAAAAACAAGTTGGGAACTGCTGTATCATGATCAAGTTGCAAGCGGTCAGACAGGCGACAAGTGTCAATCATTAACCACCTTATAACTAACTTTTAAAAGCATAGGTATTAGATAGAGAGTGGTGGGAGGCAGATGTGATCTGCATTCTGCCTGGACCTCTGGAATAGTAAGTCACAGAATACAAGAGTGTTCAGTACGAAGGGCTCTTGGCAATCGCCTAGCCTCACTCCTTTATTCACAGGTGAGGAAATAGTCTCCAAGATGCTAGCAGTTCATTCAGGACTGCAGACATGTGTTTCTGTTGGTTTCCACTTTTCAAATAAAACTACAAAAATAAGAAAAGAGGTTTTTTTCTAAGATTCTGCAGCAACATAGAGGCAGAACTCATCTTAACCTCAAATTTGTTCCATTCCTGTACTCATCCCAGTAAGACTCCATCTGAGGCTCAAACCAAAAAGATCTTTTATCATAAAAGTGTAATTGTGCCACCAATGAATCTTTGCTGTCTAAAAACTTTAGATGAGCAACATTTCACCATTTCCAGGGTAATTTCATAAGCATTGTCTTTTGACCAAAACATTCGGTGGGGCAACGCTAAGCATAAAATATCAGTAGTAAGCAAATCTCTTAAAAACACACCTGGTTCCATAGGGTTAAAACCGCCTCCTGGAGGGTGATGTGAAAATGGAACCTGTGTTTGGTTTTGTAACCCACGTCCCCCCACGTCCCACGTAGCCCAGGGAAAGAGAAACGCTGCTAATGGGGTGGTAAAAGCAGTGTGAATGCCATCCCCCGCACGGGCTCCTGTCTACAGCTTTTGTTCCCATGGTCTCTTCAATAAATATGACTCAGTGTGCTGTTTGGGCTCTACTTCCTCTGGGCAGGGAGCTGACAGCAGCGGCTCTGCAGTGCCTGTCACGGGTGACTCAGGGGCCCCACTGGAGGCTGCCTCTTCTCAGACGCAGCTCCTTTCTGCTGTTCTGAGCACTGGCATCCCTGACGTTCCAGCTTTGAAAGTGCCCACCAATTAAAAAAGGGTGGTGTTCTCTTCCACCACCCAGTTATTTTTTTTTTAAGTGCTGTACAGATATCTTGATAAGCTGCCAACGATCTTTTTTCACCCACCTACTCATCTATAGAATTTGTAGTCTCTAGCACAGGCATGATGCATGGAAGGCCAAGTAAAGGTCAAAATGCATCCCTGTGAAAAACAAAAACAAAAGACAGGAAAAGCCTCCCAATCATCCCGCCTCTTCCAAATGCTCTTTAGAGCAAGAGTGTGATATACTTAATGTATCTGGAGGCTGAAGGGGGTATGAAGGGTGGGGTGTTGTCTGAGCCAGTCCACACTTGTGAACTTGTTTTTGCTTTAAGAGTTGGTCAGTCAAGATAAGAGCTTCTATTTATTTGGGTACACACATTGTTCTAAGCTCAAGATTTTTTTTTTTAATTTCCTATAGGACATGTACACTTACAAGAGAGAGAGAGTGAGAGACAGAGAGAGAAAGTAAGAAATAACTCTCCCATGGGGGGGGGGG